AGAATATAGATATAGTACTATCTTATCAGATAATGACAAATGAGAGAAAGAAGATAAACTGACTTGAAATTTTTATTCACAAATAATACCACAATATAACCTATACCTATTTTGAGTTTCTTTTTCTTTCTTTCCTAGATATATGCTGCTGTGATTGTCTAAAACTAAAGTATGGGTAACACTGAGAACATGTTAATGTCAGAAGAATTATGCATGTGTAAAAATTCTGAGTGGTAGATTGGCAGCCTCTGCTCATTTGGAACGTTGCAAGGAGAAATATATTGTTCTGGATTAGTGGACACAGGAACATTTTTTTTTTAATCTCTTAAGTAAAAGAAAAGTTAAGAGAACAATTATAAAAATAAGGAAAACTTTAATTAAATAAAAATTGTTATTTGGAATTTACCCATGAAACAACAAAAGTAAAGCAAAAATCAAATTCAATAAAACCACTTTCTCACAAGAGACATATTATACTCTTCAATTAAAATTAAAACCAGACAGGAGGCAACAACTACATCTTTGAAAAACATGACAGAAAGAGAAAGATATGGAGAAAGAATCAGATATAGCTAGGACTACAGAGAAAAGAAACAGCAAGAGAGAAAGCAAAGGTGCCAAAGATGTGAGAAAAGTTACTAACATGAGTCTATAAATCTCATTCCAAACATCTTTTATTTATTTACTATCTAGTATTCAAATAGTTGAATATTAAGAAACAGAAGGTCTTTCATATCTTTTCAAATTAACATGGATTCAATTGAATTTGCTGTTAAATCTTAGTTGTACTGTGTGGTAATTTAAGGGAGGAAATAAAGGCCAAAAACAACTAAAACAACTTTGTTTTGAGGAACATATAAGATTTTAGTAAACTTCTAAATGTGCCTAGTTCTTTTCAGGGAATAGCAATAATACAAGGTCATCAAGTTCAGTCCAGAGACTTTACACACACTTTCAAGTTATTTCTGGGAATAATTTCTCTGCCTCTTCGTATTTAATTAGAGTTTGAAGCCTTTAGAGCTTAGAACAACTCTGATCAAAACAAAGCTATACTAATGTCTACCTCTTGTCAAAATGTAGGCTTGCTAAACTAAACCCAACTAGTTTAGAATATTCTTAATATACACTATGGGCTTCAAGAAAATATGCAAATATATACTATTTTCCCCTGACTTCAAGTTATGCAAGGACTATTCAGCTAAAACATGAATGAATAACTGATATTAGTTTTTTAAAATTTTTTAAAAGAATTTAAATAAGAAAAATTTGAGGCCCAGAATTCATGAGTTTTTTTAAAACAGGAATAAAGTTGTCCATTTTCCCTAGGACATTCTCTTTAGTTATTATTATTATTTTCCTGGTTCAGTGAAAGAAAGAAACAGAAAAAGAGATGAGGAGCAGGGAAAGAAAAAGAGACAGAAACAGAGAAAGAGTGATAAGGAGTAGGGGGAGGGGGAGAGGGGGGCTTTTACAAGTTCGAGATTATTTTTAATTAAAGATGAGACGGTGAAAGAGAGGAGGAATACAAGGAACACGTATTAACTAATAAATTTCATGTCCTGTATTAGCCTTTTTTACAAACATCATCTCATTTGTCATATATGTCTTATTAGTAATAAAAATAACCCACCTCCCAACTGCTTTTATCATTCAGATCCTCTATGAAGAGGAATGCTAGCAATACAAATAAGAAAATAATCCCATTCATTTTCTGAAGAAAACTACTAGCAAATTGAAAATCCATTTATAAGATTTTGAAACAAAGTAAACTAGGAAACTGTTTAAGCATAAAAAGAGCTAAATATGTTTATCTGAATTCTCAACTTCATATCTTTTAATTTTTAAAGTATAAGTCATGGCTTGATGTGGGAAAAAAGAATATTTACCTGAACGATCCCTATCAATACAATTTAAAATATTAGCATCTCATAACCAACCATTAAAAATTTATTAAAACATAATTATTATAACTTAGAYGTTAAAAGTTCAACTTTTCACTTAAAAATCTTTCTAAAATATAGTTCTGGTTTTATTTTATTTTTTACTATTTCTAAGATTTCAAAAACAGAATTTCAATTTTCCTAATAGGTAAGAAAAATTTGTAAAATGCTGATTAATCCAGAATATTGATTTGCCATGTAAATTCTTTTATGTTTCATAAAAATATATAAATTTCAAATTGAAAACTCAATTATAAAAAACAGTAATACTAAAGCAGTATTCTCAAAATATGCTTAATAAAAAACCAAAATTTATGTTTAAAAGTTGCATTCTTTTAAAATTATAGCTTACATTTTTTATTTTCTTGCTATACACCAAATGGTGAATCTATTTATTTTATAAGCTTCAATTTCAACATTCCCATGAAATATACTTAATGCTTCATCTAAAGTTTCACAACATTTTATAGACTAAAAAAGAAGCATTCTATGAAAATTATTCATTCTCAAACCCTCCAAGGAAGAACAACTACAACCTCCATATGGTACTCAAAAAATATGTTCTAAATTGAGTATGTGATTACAAGTAAAACTTAACATCAGGGATAAAATTTGGAATCAAAGTTTTATGGTATTTTATTAACTCCAAAATGTAATGATTAGCTAATAACGAGAAATAACTATAACTGTAACCACAGCTCAAAATTCATGATAAACAGACACAAATTTCTGTTCCTCCCTAAAATTATTTTTCCTTATATTTGTAATAGCAGTGTTGGATGCTTTATGTTTAATCTGCCCATAGATAAACAAGCAATCAAATGAAAAAAGGAGTGAAGAGCAAAAAGAAGTTGGGCACTTACTTGACATAAATTAAAGATAGGGGAAAAAATTCATTTAATACCTCAAAGATCCACACAGAGTTCTAAAAATTGTTCATGTCCCCACCCCAACATAGATCACTAACTGGGTATAAATTGAAGTTGGCTATGTAGTGACTTTGAAAACAGCTTTAAAAAAAAAAAAAAAACCTAACCATGAATACATTTAGACTTAAAGAGACATTCCCAACAGACAAAAATCATGGGAATAAGTTCCATGTGCCCATGTAATAACTGTGAGACCTAGGTAAACTTGGAAAAAGCACTTCATCTCTTTAACATACAGTTTATTTATAAAACCAAGAATAATAAAATCTACCCTAATTATATAACTTTCATGAGACTCAAATGAAGTAAAGAATGTGGAAACATTTTAGAAACTATTCAAAATATTAAAGAGAATACCTTTATTTTAGTGAGATAAAGTATAATTTTTTGTTGTTTTTTAAAATGCAGGATATACTTTTTATCTTTTTATTTTATGTTTTGTTTTTCTAACAGTTTGAAGATTCTGTAGATACTATCTAATTCTACTTAGTACATAAATTTATTTCTATTGCCCTTTATAAATTTTTCTTAGAAAGAATCAAATAATTTTATCATTTAAAACCCTAAACAATAAATAATCTTAAAGCAGTTAAGATACTGATTTCTTATTTAATTTCTTAAAACCATATATTATGGCTGACCTCTAGTTGCATAACTAATTCGTAATGGCTTAAGAGCAATCACTTAAATCTCAAGTGTTGAAATTTTTATATCTGTTGAAAAGGTAGAATATATGTGTGACCAACTTACCTGATGAAAATTCACCTTTGTAACTGAAAGCAGTATTCAATTTTAAGAGAGAACTTTCTCTTCACACACTCTACCAGTATAATAATGCTCTTTGAATTACTAAATGAAGCAACTAATACATGTATAGCTCTTAACTGCTTTCCTTTGAAGCTATAAAAATCAACTGAGAAATGACTATTTCCTTGAATACAGACATGTTCCACAAAGAAAAAAAAATTCAGTACCAGCATATTTGTGGATTTGTTTTTTAAAAAAATCTCTATGCAATCACAAAGGAAATCCATCTGTCACTAAGAACAAATAATCAATACTATCTTTTTAGTAAAATGATAATTTTACAACCCTTATTTCTTACCTTATGAATACTAAGGCATGGCCATAATGTCTGCCAAAGTTAATTTCTTCACTAATATAATTTACTTTTTCTTCTGTTTATTGACTACATAGAAGTTATTTTACTTCTAATTTTACTTTTTCTTCCRTTCATTGACTACATAGAAGTTATTTTACTGATTATCAATCAAGTAAACATCACTTTCATGCAATTTTTTTCACAAACCATATTTCACAAATGATTATTACTGTGAAATAATGTCTTGCTAAAGAACTCTGACCACCTATTTATCATATTGTTTTACCTATTATTTAAGGTTTCTATCACTTTTTAAAAATGCTGAGATAGTGTAAAAACATTTTTTCTTTCCTTTCTTTATAAAAAGGCATCCCTAATACATAAAAAACTATACTTTTAAACTATGTGTCTATACTGACAGCAGTATTTGAGTTATATTTCATACAGTGGTCATAGGGAAGGGAAACACTGCTTAGAGTAAGCTTTAAGTGTAATAAATTAAACCACTGTAATTCAAATACTCCACCAAATATGCCAAAATCCATGTAAGTAACAAAACGTGGAGAGAAAAGGTCATAAGCCCAAATAAAAATTTAGTATATTAAAACATGATAGAAGTAAAGACCTGTATGATTCTTTGGCTTTAATTTTAAAATCAGTGTATTGGAATCAAATTTTGTTGCTCTAAGAGAAAGCTAATAAAGTTTAATAATACAACAAATACTAGTTAATAATTTATCCACATGGTTTTCTAAACATTTTTCTATATTACATTTTATATTTGTGAATTTCACTGCTAAATCTAGTAAAACTAAACCACTTATTATATTATATAAGTAATGTAGTATGTGTAGTTAATTTTAGTATCCCAATTAAGGTATAGAATAAATGATTCTTTATTGGTGAAAACAATGTCAAAACAATGTATGAACCAATTTTTAAATGGATTTCCTCTGTAATATGCAGAGTAATTTTGTCAAAAAGTCCCCCAAACTTTAACAGGTATAAAAACAAGAGACTGATAATTACCATATTGAAATAAGATCGAATTTTGACTCCTCTTGCTAGATCCCACACTATCACATTTCCGTCATGACCAGCAGAAAAGAGAACTCTAGGATCAAATGGATGTGGCTCAAGAACAAATACCTCATCTTCATGACCCTGAAATATTTTCGAAGTGTCAAAAGATTATAAATATTAAAGATAGAAAAAAAAGCTTAATGAAACACTGACAAAAGTAACATTTCTAGAAATGGAATTTTAAGAATTATTAAATTGGCAAAACTTGTCAAATTTGTCAGTTTATAAATAAAAATGAAAATGAGTTAATAATACTGGCTAGGGCTTTGCTATCATTAAGTAAAACATGAGAATACTATTACCATATTCCTAAACACCAAAACACAAAAAGAATCTACAATGTATTTCCAAACTAAACAGTTTTAACTGCATTTTTAAATTATTCCTAATGACCCACAAAACCCTATTGTCATAACTAGAGATTTTAACTAACATAAAATATTTTATGTTTTAATAAAAACTACAGTCTACAGTTAGCTTTAGTCATACCAAAATTTAAAGAAAGTCCATTTTCTCACCATCAGGACATGGATAAGTTGACCAGTGTAAGAATTCCAAACTTTCAGAGTCATATTATTAACTGCAGTTATAACTGTATTGTCATGTCGATCCCAAGCAACCATAGTTACTTTCATTTTTGTGATCTTATCTTCTATTCCTTGAAGATTTTGGCTGAAAGAAGGAGGCAGCATTTGTTTACACTGCTTTTATTAAAATACTTGTGTAACAAAAACTAAAAATAAAAAATTCTTATAATTTATATTTATTAACATGGATATGTATCACTTTAACGAAAATAAAAATAGTATGAAGTAACAGAACAACAGCATAAGTTCCTGTGCTTAGTCAGAAAATTCAGAATTTCCTGAATTCAGGATTATGGGACTCATAAGACATTAGGAACAGATGATCTTAGGTAAATATTACTGCTATAAATCTATCTAGAATCAGGAATTCTGTGCCAGGGTGCTCACTCTACCTTTTACTGATGCTGTCAATGCCCTCCTTACTGCACCACTCTCCATCCATCTGAGATAACTACACAGAACTACTAGTAAATAATAATAAAATATTTTTTTAAAAAGTAATGATTATAACATGTAATATGCTACAGAAGCTACCGGGTATAAGTATCATCCTAATAGGATAGATGGAACATTATAATATGGTCTCTTAAAAAAAATGTTAAAAGTTACAAGTATTCTTACAGGACAACTAGAATCCCTTAAAAAAAAAACAATTAAAAAAATTAATCCAACAGGTCTTCTTGTTATATGGCAGTGAAATATTTCATAAAAATCAACCAACAGTGTTTATTTCTTATAATACCTATAGTTATTGCAGAAAATTAATCATTGTGAACTGATATATAGCTTTAGACAACAGCTCCATCAAATGCAGAATATATATTAAATAATCTAAATATACTATTTCAAATTTGATTCTTACCCTGCTGGACGAGTTGCCATATCCAACAAAATGCTCTTCCATTCTCTTCGTTTAAACTGCCAAATACGTGCTGTCCCATCCCGACTACCGCTTACAAACCTGTATTTTATAGAAATCCAAGACCCCCCCCCAAATCACACATGCTTTAACAAAATGCACCAAAATCCTGTTTTAAAAAGACAACAATCTTTATCCAATATCACAGAAATTCCTGTCTATAAATCTAACAACTTCTGAAACTCTATGCGCTTTAAAAATTTTACAAGTAAATATAATTAGGTCTCAAAAATAACATTCAAGGGCTGGGGGTAGAGATCAGTGGTAGAGCACCTGCCTAGCATGTAAGCAGTCTAGGGTTCCATCCCCAGTACTACAAAGAGAAAGAGAGTGAATTTTTTCCAATGAGATAAAATTCCTCCTAATAATAAAAAAGTTTATTTGTTCTATTCAAAGTGTGAAGGAGTTTTAGTTACTTTTAAAATACAAACATGAAAAATTTACAAAATATCATTTTGTGTCATCAGGGAACATATGTGTCTCGAATACTGCACTACCAAAAAGTTTCCCTACACTTTCATACATGTAGGAAAGATTATAGAATTATAATACAAAAGCTTCTATTATTAAAAGCATTCAAATAAACTAACATCATTAAAAAATAAGACACAAAGACACATGTTTACATGCATATGAAGGCCCTATTCACTTAAGTATATCTGGTCAACATCTTTATTTTAGGTGATTAATTTCTATATAACTTAAATATAACTACTAGAATTATCTTTATTTTTTTAAGTTTAAAAACAGAATTAAATTAGAGAAATATAGATTTTTACCTGTTACTAGTGTTGGAAAACTGGATACTGTCAACTTTGTCCTATATATAGATACATAAAAAGCAGAAGCTGAATATAAACAGTCTCATTTAAGTTAYATTTATCTAATTCCTTTCACCAATACTTACAGTATGAAACTCCAATTCTGATATTTTCTCTGGCTGACCTGATCCAAAAAAATAAACTCTAATAATATGATCTGTGCTCCCTGTGGCCAGAAACATTCCACCTATAAAGTAACAGCAAACATTTATGAGAAAATACAACTTTCAAATCTCTGAAAATTAAGTAATAGCCAAGCAACTACAAGATGTATTAAATAAATTTTACTCTAAAATCATTTACATTTACCATGAATATATAATACATCTAACTGCAATTTGAAAAGAAGTTTGCTACTACAGCTTGAACTAGGATGAACTTTTCAATATTTATAGAAGTAAACCTATTCATACTAAAAACAATTTCACTGATTACATAATCTCACCATGTTAAAATTTTATCAGTTATCTTCACTAGATAGCATAGCATTTAACTCTGACATTGCTGATATCCTTCTGTTGTTCCATTTCTCATCAGTCAAAAATCTTACCAAATTTCTAAGGCCCAATGCCCTTTCCAAACCTGGCAATCAAATGAAACTGCCCTCCTCCAAACTCACCTAAGACTTTGTCTTATAGCACATACATTCTACTTGGCAGAATTTATTCCCCTCTATAAAGCAAAGCTCTCCCACAGAGTCAAGTTCTTACATTCAAAATAAAATTTTTAAGTACTTTTGATAAATGATCCACTTAATGGACCTGTAAACTTAATCAAATTATTTTTGGAAGAAAAGCCTAAATTCAGAGTACTATACACATATATATTGTACCAATTTGGGTTATTACTAGAAGGAACACTATCTTTATGGCAGCAGCCCTGAAATTGAGACAAAAACAGATTCACTTCAGTTTACTAGTCCTGAACTCAGGTAATACTGCTATCCACAATTATGAAATAAAGTAAAACAGAAAATAAAGGTGGAAGGAATAGGTATTAGGAACATTAGATAGTGGATCTATTCATAGTTCAATTCATTTCAACTATCTACATCACAGAAAACTCTTAACATTCATTCAGAATGTTGCTATAGAAATTCAAAAGGTAATAGCATATTAGTACTGCTATTCAGCTTTTTCTTCTCCCCACTACCTGCTCCGCCCCAATACTGGGGACTGAACCCAGACCCTCAAGCATGTTAAACAAGTATTCTACCACTGAACTACATCCCCAGCCCTTATTACTTTAATAAATGAAGAAAGAGTCTTGCTAGATTGCTCAGGTTAGCCTGGAACTTGCAATCCTCCTGCCTCAGCTTTCTCAGTAGCTGGGATTACAAAAGTGTGTCATCATGCACAGTAGTATAATACTGCTATTTTTTTTTWAAAAAGAGCAATAGAACAAACTGGAGCAAAGTAAAGAGAGCATATAAAAATATTAATCAAATTTATTTTACTTAGCTATGGAACACTTTTAAAATCTGCAAAAATGTAAACCAGATTTAAAATACCTATGATCAATAAGAAAAACATTTAAAGACAATCTTTGTAACAGAGAAAATTTTGAAACTATTAATTCTCTATTAGAGCATTATGATCTTCTTATAGAATAATATTAGTCATGTGGTTATGTGAATTAAGCTCCAGCAAAATTGAAATATTTCTAACTCAATTTATCATTCTTGTTTACTAACTAGCTCTTGTGTATGTATGAGGATATGATTAAAATACATTAGTAAATATTTTCCAAAATTTTATGTATTTTACTAGAAGATTTCTAATGTACAACTTTTAGTGAAAAAAGAACGGGAGGGGCAATCTTACCAGCACTAAAAGAAGAACAGATCATTTGAACTCCAGGTCGAGGGCGCTCTGTAAATTTTGCAGGTCTTGGGCTAAAATACAAAAAAAATAAACAACTAAAAATATATTAAAGGGACCAGGAATACCAGAAATGAGCTGTTTCAAAAAATAATCACAGAAGGACACAATTAAATAAGCAACAGATGATGACAGTCTTCCTAAAAACAACTTTGAAATTATTGTGTGTCATGATCAGATCCTGCAGACCTCTTGCACAGGAAACCTCCCAAAGTCTCTAGCACACCAGACATGTAGTTATTAGTTACACTAACTTCCAACCAAATTTAGTAAGTCTTGGCTATTCATACTAAGAACAGGAATGCAGAATAGCAACATATAAAGTAACATAWATAAGGAAGTTCAGTACCCAGTAACCCCCACAAAAAAGGAAGTTATTGATAAACATGAAAACATGAACAAATAGGTGCTCTTTGGTTATGTATTGCTACATCAGAATGTAAACTTTTTTAGTATGAGATATTTTTAAGCTTCTCTGGTACCTTCTAATGTGACAAAATATTTTTCTAAAAAGCAAGAATCTTATCTTAATGAAAATCTGAAGGCTATCTGACTGTCATGTGAACTATAAAATTGGTTCAAAACAGGGATCTAGTCCACTACAGACTACATTTCACTGTATTTCCATCAATACTATTGACATTAAATGCTATAATCTCCCATATTAAAATTACATTATAAAGTCAAGTAATGACAATAGCTCCAGTAAATTTAACAAATGTGTATATGATGCGCCAATACATTGATTATATTTGAAAATATAGTTAGTAAACATTTTAACCAAGTTTTTCTCAGACTATAAGGGGAGAAAATGCAAAAAATAATTAGGTCCTTAAACCTAAGTACACTACTTAACTTTCACAATCCATAGCATTAAAATATAAATTGATTTCAGTTTTGTGATCATTTAGGGAAAAGATGTATAGATAACATATTTCTGATTTATCAATCATATATACTGAATAAAGAGGAGAGTTTTTCTGACTGATATAGAATGTACCAAAAAGTGCTTACTAAAAATTCCAGGAATAAATTTGTAAATAGATAAACCATTTATAAAGAAATAAATGTCTATTAAAATACCCTTAAAAATTAAACTTTATTCAGAGCAACTAAATGTGCCACTTTCATACAAGCTTATGGATTGTAGCTTCACTCTTCCCTAGCTCTACATTTTTGTTTTTTACAACTATTCATATAAGTGCCAAGCAACCACTTAGTTGAAACACAACCAGAATATGCAAATAAAAATTCTACATACTGCCATTATAAACCAGATTTTATATTTTTAAAGGGGAAAAATAAACATATACAAAAATTTATTTTTAAATGCACATTTGAAGAAATATTTTAAAAGAGGGTCTTGAACTCAAGAATTCCCATTTTCAACTTTCCAGCTCTGACATTTATCAGGTATGTGACATTAAGCAAGATAACATTTCTAAACCTTTAGTCACCTTATCTGTAAAATGGGACTAACAATAGATGCTATCTCATAATTGCAGGGTAATTACATGAGTTTAATCCAAGTAAAGTACACAACTCAATAAATGTCCGTATTATTAATATTTTAATTCTGTTCAACATTTCTAGATAGTCTAGATCAAAGAATAACTGTTGTTTAGGGGGTCCTGATAGTATTTGTATTTAAATCCTGTTCTACCACCATTGGCTAATTGTGTGACCTGCCTATGTCTCAGTTTTTTCACTTTTTTGCACAAGGGATAATAACTGAACCTACCTCTTCCAAAAGGCTGTTATAAGAACTAACATGATAACAAAAGTAAAATGATTAGTACAAGCTGGGCAGACTAAGAGCTTAATAGAAATCTGTAATCATTATTATCTGCATATTTCATATATATCTGTTCTCCTTATACCTAGTCTAAAGGTACTCAAGACAGGTTTCTTCTACCCAGAGATTTTTTTTTTTTTTTGGGGGGGGGGCGAGGGTATTGTGGGTTGAATCCAGGAGCTCTCTACCACTGAGCACCAGCCCCTGCCTGCCTATCTATCTATCTATCTATCTATCTATCTATCTATCTATCTATCTATCTATCTATGGCAGGGTCTCACTAAGTTGCTTAGGGCCTCAGTAAGTTGCTGAGGTTGGCTTGGAACTTGAATTCTTCCTGCTTCAGTCTCCTGAATCACTGAGATTATAGGGATGTGGTGTCCTGCTCCAGAGTCTATTAAACTAGCTTTTGAAGTCACCTAGACACTCAGTTTAACCATCTTAAGAAAGAGCATCTTTACTGGTGGGAGTTGATAATATACACATAAACCCTATATAAAAGTCAATCAATAGATTTGGGTTTCAAAGTTCAAATGATTTTTTTCAATTACTGTAGACAGATGAATTTCTGAAGTTTCTTTTCTAGATTATACAAACATCACCACACAATATAATTTTTGCCTTTATTATTATCATCATTATTGGTACCAGGGATTGAACTCAGGGGAACTCAACCTTTGAGGTACACCCCCAGGCCTATTTTGTATATTTGTTCATTTAATTTATATGCAGTGCTGAGGATCAAACCCAATGCCTCACACATGCTAGGCAAACACTCTACCACTGACTCACAACCTCAGCACCCCCCTATTTTGTATTTTATTTAGAGACAGAATCTCACTGAGTTGCTTAGGGCCTGGATTTTGCTGAGGCAGGCTTTGAACTACCGATCCTCCTGCCTCAGCCTCCCGAGCTGCTGGAATTACAGGATTGCACCTTCTTACCCAGCTGCCTTTGATTATTAAAATCTAATATAACTACAGTAACAAAACTATATCCTGCCAAATTTTTTGGCAATTATCAATGATATGTAAATACAAAAAAGAAAAGAAGTGCCCCAAAGCCTATAGCCAAGGAGAAAGGGATTACTCTTATTTTTATATCTGAGACTGGCTTGAAATTTTTAAAGAGATAATTATAATAGCAAACAGAAAAGCATACTATTTAGAAATAGCTAGAAAAAACTTTAATGTTCAAAAACAGAAAAAAAATCACTAAGCAAAGTGTGGAACAACTAAATAGAACATAACACAGCTATTAAAATTAACATAGTGATGCATGGTACCACATGCCTGTAATCCCAGTGATTCAAAAGGCTGAGGTAAAGAGGACAATAAGTCCAAGGCCAGCTTCAGCAACTTAGCCACACTCTATCTCAAAATTAAAAATAGACAGGGTTGGGGATGCAACTCCTTGGTAAAGGGTCCCTGGGTTCAATTTCTCACACAAATCTGCCAAAATAAATAAAAAATACCAGAAATGTTTATGATAAAAAAAAAAAAAAAAATCAACATAATATTATAATTCCTCTGCCTTATCTACATAAGATCAATCATAAAAAATTACATTCAGGTAGTGAGTTATATGTGATTCTACATTATAAAAAACTCACTTCTCAAGGATACAGAAACCTAAATTATTATTGTAGTTAGCATTATAATGCTCAAAAAAAAAACTTTTATAAAAATTTTGTAAAACATGTTCTGTTTGTATCCTAATTTAAAAACTGCTTATCACTTTTTTTCTTCTGACAGTAATAAACAAAGGGCATTCAGATACCAGGAAGTTAAAATATAGTAACAATTACTGATGACTGTCCAAATGAATAAGTAAGATAGTTCAACCTTTATCTAAATGTCTATAGAAAGACATTAAATATAAATACAATTAAGGTTAAATCAACTTGTTTTGTCCAAAGACATCTTTTGTATCACAATCTTCTCTTCAAATGAAGTACACTTGTATTATGTTATTCATGTTAGCATGTTCTAATGCCCTCCTATAACAACCATTGTACAGGAATGTTCATACACATGGTTTAAGACAAGTCTTACATTGTGTCAATATACTAACTGAAAACAATTATGTGATACTACCATTTAAAATAATGAATGTATATATAAATTATTAAATTACTCAACTCAAGTTGATAATTTATAAACAGATAATTACTGAAATATACCTTCTAATCTGAATGACTTTCTTTTCTGCAAGTGGCAAAAATGACCACTTGAGACACTGTGGAATCACTGGAGCAAATAAATACAAGCACTTCTCTTCAGTCCATCTACTCAAAAGAAATGGAATATAAAGCATAGGACTAAAGAGTAAAGAAGTGTTCCAATTTTGGTCTTCTATTAAAAAAACAAAAACAAACAACAACAAAAAACTTGTTTTAAATATGGGAAAATCATTTAACCTTTCTTCACCTCAGTGTCCTTAATCAAAAGATAACTGTCAGCCAACTTGTTTTGACAAACCAAGATTTTAACATAGGTGAAAGCACAAATGGAAATGGGATTATGTGTGTACATTTATCTAGTAAAATTTGTTTTCCAAACTTTTCCTAGATCTATAATAAAATCTAGTATGTGTAGATATAGTAACATAATTAAAATTATTCTGAAGAATAGCATTAGTAATTCTAACATTTCTTAGCACCAAACAGAAATACTGAGACACAAGTATATGGCATATAGAAAGGAACAGGTATATCCCGAAGGAAAGAACTAGGACACAGATATGAGAGGAAAAAAATATTTATGATTAGAAAACTTTCTTTGAAGCATATGAAAAGGGGGGGGGGGCTTAAAAAAAACAGGTCACTGAACAAGCAAAAGGAATTTCCATTATTTCCTCAAGAAGAAAAAAACTGATTTCTATTGTTGACTTTTGCAATTTCAATTGTTAAATACATTTTATGAAATAAAATAGCAACTGACTTTATTTTAAGAGTTCCAGCATCCCAGAGCCAAAAACAAATAGTGCCATCTGCTCCAGTAGAAGATAGATATCTCTTTGAGCCACTGCACAATGGTGAGAACTGAAAAACAATCACAGAAAAATAAAAATATTTATAGAGTGATATAGTACAAATAACCACTTTTTACCATACCATTAACAACTAACAATACAGAAAATACCCAGAACAGAACAAGATCATGACTACTATGTTATTCAAAATACATAAAATTTTCTAAAGAAAACAAATATTTTTTAGTTTTAGTAAACGTTATATGATTATAAATCTGAGTTTCTAAAGCTTACTCTAAATTACAACAAAAAGTTTTTAAAAGGGATTAAAACAATTACCTGTAGTGATGTAATAGATGCACTGTGACCCTGAAGAACTGCCAAAGGTGCACAGGTTCGAAGGCACCAGACTCGGATCATTTTATCACAACTTCCAGCTGCTATCATGGTATTCTCATAGTTTACAGCCATGTCTGATATTTCAGCAGCATGTCCTCTTAAAGTAGCTAATAATCTCCCATCATCTGTTGCCCAGATTTTCACAAGGCAATCATCAGAACCCTTAAAATACAAGTGAATATTAGCATAATTAACCCTGTAAGTTTTAATTCAAATTCTTAATACTGATAAAGAAATCCTGTTATGCCCATTTTCCAACAATTATATTTTAAGCACTTCAAGTTGTAAATATTTTTGTTAGAAATTTCCCTCATCAAGTTAAAATAAAAAACACAGACATTTGTAAAATTACCAAATGCTCTATASGAAACAGTTTTACTGGTTTTTACATAAAAATTCTGTATGATTTTCCAATATAATTCTAAAACAAGGGGCTGGAGATGTGGCTCAGCGGTAGCGCGCTCGCCTGGCATGCGTGCGGCCCGGGTTCGATCCTCAGCACCACATACCAACAAAGATGTTGTGTCCGCCAAGAACTAAAAAATAAATATTAAAAAAAAAAAAAAATTCTAAAACAAAACCAAACATACAAACAAAAAACTTTATGAGTGCTCAGAGAACCTACAAAGGCAAATGATCCAGACAAGTTTTCTGCTTCATACTGAAAAGACACAGATATGAAATATAAATGATCACAAACACAATTCTTACAGTACATCTTACATGAAGTATATGAAACTAGACTCTGACAACACTGCTTACAAAACACTCTCCAATTAGCTATAAAATCAGTTCTTCTGATTGAGCTTTCAGGCAAATTGGTGGGTTACCAACGACTAAAATTCTGGTAATGAAACTTAACTTTGTTAAACCACTCACATTAAAATCTGGTATTCTCATTACATATATTTAGTCTCAAGTTTTTCATCTTAAAAAAAAAAGATTAATGATTTCTAAGATTTCCTGTACCTTTACAATTTGGTGATTCATGCAATCATTTATCCATATGCCTCTTGATTAAGAACGTGCCAACACTGGCAACAGAAGGATGATATTCAAAGACATAGTATTCCTGCCTTAGAGAAGCAAAAGTGTATAAGCAATATCAAGTTCTAAGTGCTATTCTGTGGATCAGTAGAGATTCAAACAAAGGAACAGTCAGCTTTTCCTAAGAGATGAGGCCTAGGAAAGAACACAGAAGCAATGCTGCTTCAACAGTCTTATGAATGGAAACAATATAGTCTAGTAGTTTAGATCAGACTCCAGAGTCAAATGTCTGAGTTCATGATCTGGCATGACCACTGCCTACTTGTACAACCCTGGACATGTTATACACATTTTCTATGCCTTAATATTCACATATGTACCTTTCTCATAGAGTTGTAAAAACAAAATGAGTCAAGTAATAAGAAGAGCTAAAACAATGCTTGGCACATGGTAAAAGATATATATGGAATAATATCACCAATTTTGCTATTGATAATATTCTTAGTCTTTGTTTTTGCTTCTTTTCCCCCTCACTACTGGGGATGAAACCCAGTGCCATGCACAGGTTAGGCAAGGGCTCTATCAATAAATCATATGCCCAGACTGTAATATTATTATTTTAGTAATTTTTTTTAAAGTACAAATATTGTATGGAGCAACTAGAGGAAAAAGTATGATCAAAGTAAGCAACTGTGAAACAAGGTGGGTAGTTCAAAGAACTGCAAATAGTCTGCCAGCTAATTCACAGTGTGAAGCAAGGCATGAAGATGAAGGAATATGGTATGTAATGAGGATCAATGAAGAATAACAAGCAGTTGAGTACCACGATCAAATTCAGAGTTTTCAAAAAAGCATCCTGTCATCACTGTGAATTAGGAATGTAGGAGAACAATTCAAAGTTGCTAAAATACAAGTGGGAAAGAATAAGTGGTTAAAAAWTTTTTTTTGAGTTATTACAGCAAAAGAGAAAAATCAGAAGAGATGGTTATAAGGAATAAAATGAAGATTGTATCACTGATTATCTCTGGAAAGCAAAGAAAGAACAGTAGCATACTATGACTTCCAGAAAGATGGTGTACAACATCACATGGCATGTGGGAGGGACTCTAAGTATTTTTTGATTAATAAAAAGGCTTTTATTTAAAATACTCCTTTAAATCAAGTTCTCTAAAATTCCATAACCAAATCAATTTATTCACTTTACTTACTTATCTTCTAAAATTTAAGGCAATACATATATAGTCAGCCYTTCATATTTTTGGTTCAGTAATCAAGTACTCTTGCGGGGGAAAAAACCCATACCTGTACTAAATATGTTCATACTCCTTTTTCTTGTTATTATTCTCTAAACAACAAAGCATAAAAGCTACTTGTGTAGCTATTTTATAAGATATTATAAGTAAAATGATTTAAAGTATAAGGGAAGATATGTGCGAGTGTGCAAATGATATACCTCTTTTTTTGAGAGAGAGAGAGAATTTTAATATTTCTTTTTTAGTTTTTGGCAGACACAACATCTTTGTTTGTATGTGGTGCTGAGGATCTAACCCAGGCTGCAAGCACACCAGGCTAGCACGTTACAGCTTGAGCTACATCCCCAGCCCACCATTTTATATAAGTGATTTAAACATCCATGGATTTTGGTATCCCTAGGTGTTCTGGAACCAATTTCCCACAGATATCAATGAAAAACTAACTTTGACTTGCATTCAGCACAAAGGTGACATTTTAAGCATACCAACATCAGTAGACAAAAGAAAAATCATGTTATCTAATTATGCTTCAAAATAATATAATTCATTTTGTTCCTATGAATGTGAATAAGAGTTTGCTTTACATTTACTAGGTGTTTCACATTTTCTATGTTAACAACAAAATTCATTCCAGCTGGAGCTGGGGTTGTGGCTCAGTGATAGAGAGCTCACCTATCGTGTGTGAGGCACTGGGTTTGATTCTCAGCCCCACATAAAGATAAATAAATAAAGGTATTGTGTCCGTCCACAACTAAAAAAAATATTAAAAAAAAAATCATTCCAGCTACTGGACCAAAATGTCAATTTTAATGAAAGGAACAGAGGCAATTGTTTCAGAAATTCTTCACCAATCAAGTCCCACTATATTGTCACTGTGTTTATTATTTAGTAGTTTTACCAATTTAGTATTGTTTTATAATTCTTCAAATAAAGTGCTGAAAACAAAAAGCAATGCATATTCTCCCTCCAATGTGCATTATCCCAATTAATCTATCAAATTATAAAGGAGAAATTTTTCATTACCCTTTCAGGGAAATCTATATTATCCTCTTTCATGACCTATAGAATAGTTTGCTGCCCCCAACCTCAATCTCACACTCCAGAATGCCTAGCAGACTTTCAAACAAAACTCTAAGCATTCTTAAGCAATTTCTACCTCATGCATTATTAGTTATGATCACTTTATTTATTTTTAAGGAAATCTGAAACTAGAGATGACCCAAGCAGAAATTTAACTAAGTTGAAAGAAATTTACTAGAAAAACATTTTTTAAAGTACTGTAAATGTGTTTTAAATGAATGTAGGATGAATTAAAAATTAGCAAAAATTATTCTTTAAAAAAAGACCAAAATGTTGAGCAGATTTAAAACAAACTTTCTTTCCATATGCCTAATCTCAGTTCCATAAATTTTACTAATTCAATAATAGACTAAAAAGTAATTATAGTCTTTCAGTCAAAGGAAATGAAAATGTTAAAGCAGCATTACAGATATTAAAAGCAATGTTACAGAAATGGTGAAAAGGTGTTATATCAACAATATGGGATACATTTCTTCTAAAGAGGTATGAAGGAGGAAAAAAGTAGGGCAGAGACACAAATTTTAAAGTAAATCAGAAAGAAATTATATAATTGTACCCTTAGCTAAAACAAATATGTGAGGATTAGTTCCTTGAAAGGGGGATGTGAGGGTAATAAAGGAATGAACCAAAAGTGAAAAAGGTTTGCAAATGCAGAATAATAGCAGTGAGAAAGAAAAAAAAAATTCTTTTTTTTTTTTTTCCTGAAAGCAACAGTAAAAAAAYCTGCTAAATTTAGATAGCCTGATTTTAGAAATACCTCAACTGACATAGTTTTTTTTCAGCAAAGTTCCAGTGCCCAGGAGAAAACAAAGTACTCATTTCTTTTCAGTAYCATTTACATACCACTAGGGCTGGGAACTGGCAAAGTAAGAAAAGGTGGAAGGTACAAAGCTTAAGTCTTTCAGTCAAAGAAAATGAAAATAACAATAAATTAAGTTGGATAGTTTTTATCTGAGAAAGATAGCCTGTTGAAGGGCTTAGATTTAACCTGGTGAGGTGGTTACTAGAGAGTTTTAGGAGGACAAGACAAGGTCACAATATTTTAGTCAGGTCCTTCTAGTGTTTATGTGTAGTACAGATCTGAAGATACAAAAGAAGGTCTAGGCTAGAAATAGGAAGCTGGGTATTGTTAGCTTATAGGTAGTAGTTGAAACAGTATCAGTAGATGAGAGTGCAAAGAGACAGCATTTAGTGCAGATTTTTATCTGAGAAACCACAAATGGGTTTTAAGAAATATGGCAGGGTAGAAAATTAAAAATTTTTTTTTTGAATTTATTTTTAAATCAAATTATAATGTTAAACTAGTGTTTAATCCAAACAAGCAAAGGAACAATGGATCACTAGTTTACTTTTCAATAATGTGATTTTTTTAAAAAACAATTTAACGTTTATTTTATTTATTTGTTTTTATATGGTACCATGCTAGGCAAGCATTCTACCACTGAGCTACAACCCCAGCCCCAATAATGTAAAATTGATGTAATCATTGTCAAAGAGTGCTGACTGAGATGTTATCATTTCTCTGTTGACATAAAACCTAGCATATCCTAGAAAAATAACAAATATATAGTTTATACAGCTTTTGGCTTACTTAAATCACCCCCCAAATAATACCAAATTTATAGTGTTTTTTAAATGTCAAAGTATCTTGTCAATAAAGGATAAAACCACAAAAATAAAAGAATACATCTTTAATTTGGTCTGAAGTACCCTATAAGTTTGCTGATTCTGATGCTATAACATAAAGAAGCTACACATACTATGATAAAGAAAGTAGACTTTTAAATAGTCAATAGGCTCTTGAAGTTTAGGACAGAGGAAGAAAACCAGATATTGCTGTGG